TTGAACTACCTTGCTATCCAATCAATCAAAAATCGGTCATTTTTGGCCATTTTGGCCATTTTTGAACTACCTTGCTATCCAATCACTCTACGTGCAGGTAGTTGACCTTTATTATCGTATAACCATGTACTTACAGCACTGATAGACATGTTACAGGCGTGATATCAAAGAACTCTCAAGAGTTCAAACCGCCATCGGATAATGTRGGTTTGCGTGCAAAGCTATCCACTTTATGGCRAAGAAGAGATTRCAAGAATTTCCTGTATTATGGAGAATGAACCTGTAAAATTKCTGCTTTAATAGAAACGGTATGTTGAGGTTRCTTTCTGTCAATTTTTGGTAGTGAGTGTTTTGAATATAGCTTTCCCCGGCATTCWRCGCGATATACTCCAGACATTCAATAAGTCACTCTAAATATTTATATGTCGAATTCATATATGAGTTCTTGTAACGTGATGTTATAAATTAAGAAATCAATAGATATTTCATGATGTTWAGGTATTGAACAATGATTTTATTGCAGGCAAACAAAACTGATTTTTAGATAATGTTGTCGGTTGTCCTAGCTAACTATTGCTTAAGTTACAACTTTACAGTATAAATCAAAACTGCTTTGAAGTCGGAAACAAGTGCTGTTCATGGATGCAGCCTTGARCTAAGAAWTGAGTTTTGTAGATTGATATTCTTGTCTTTTTAAATCAGGAATTTTATTTCCGGAGTAATCAGCAATTCTCAAGAAAACGTTGAATGACAGAAGGTACATSGTCTTCGTGGCTCTTAGTAATAACTTTTCTACTTCAGCTGTAACGGTGCTTGAGCTTAAGCGCGGTCAGTAACTTACCATATTGAGATGATTTTCGATATACAAGCCAAGATATCCCTTACAAATGATATTTTGTACAGCTATCGATAATAACACAAAGTATTTTAAAATCAAAGATAATATAGCACAGCAGATAGCAGTCACTTGAATGATATCAGACATGTCAAAACCAGACCAAGGGGCACACACTTGTAACYGATCACTGCACAGGAATATTAAACAATATTTTGAACAATTTTCAAACCATAGAGTTACATGTGCGTGAAAAAATCCTATTTCAGTTATAAATAACTTGAAGGATATGACGTCACGAGTCAATTATAGAACTTCTTCCCTTGTTGAAGAAGCTTTCACGCAATTACTTCGACGTCAGAGAATTCCTCACAAGCCGGCCTCTTGACTGTTAGTAATTCATGTGTGTTACTGCCATTTGTGGCAATAGGTGCTGTGTTTCTAGATAAGAAACCGATGTTATCCAGCATGGCCAGCACTGGCGGAATATATGACTGGCGACAGCCATTTTTCATTCAAGGAAATATCTGATGCATATTTTTGTTGATTAGAAAAAGGTRGACCTTATGCGACAATACTGTTAAAAATATCGAATTTATCATTTTTTATTTGCTTTTAAATTCACCTATTGCCATGCCCTTGCAAAATATATAAATCGGACATTCAAAACAAAACAAAAAAAGAAAAAGAAGAAAAAGAAAAAGAAAAAAAATGGCGGATTCGTTGATCTGGAATTGCCATGGATCACTGCAGAAAAATCGCGCCCTTAAAGGTTGTAAATTTGATGTAAATATGATGTAAGTGCCCAAGGTTCTGTAAATTTAATGGGAATCCTTTACATCAAATTTACAGAATTTTGGACACTAACATATTTACATCAAATTTACAACCTTTAAAGCGCGCGATTTTTTCCAGTGGATGATGTTAGCCCTAGAAAACCCCTCACTACAGTCCTATAACAATAGTTCCTAGTTCTAATCGTACAGTAAAATATACCTATATGTGATCAAGATCCAAGCGTACAGCCTACGCAGTTATAAAATACTCATGTCGGCGCACAGTGAATATATACGCATAGAGCCGTGCGATTCTAAGTACTCTTAAGTACTCGACGTCTCACACAATAGCTCAAAGCATAATTTAGCTATTAGCACTAAAACCTCCATTAACACRCAGACGAACAGCGATTGACACAAAGCTAATTTTAAATCGGATTCGAGTGCCATCGGATGTAGTATCACCAGGAACCACCTYAAAGCCTTGAAATGATTTGATTACGGTTTGCATGGCATCAAAATGGTGTTACGASACGAACAAGAATTGTGAGTACCAAAGATTTATTTCCAGTAATGTTTCTGTATATTCATAAAGAGCAGGAGTTGTTGTAGCTTGATTATCAAAGCCAGTTGACTTTATGATAAATCGATAGCTTGAATCCAGTTTTCGCAACTTTTTGTAGCCAAGAAAGGAAGAGTTAGTCTTAGTTACAATCTAAAGATATTCAAGTCAACGTTTCACGATTCGTTTGAAAAAATTCCCATCCTAAGAGATTCATTTGACGGTGCGATGTTCTAGTGATCAAAAGCTTTTTAGTGGATGAAATTTCATAGTCAAGAAATATGAGTTACGAACAGTAAATGGCACTTAAATTATTTTGACATCTCTGACGAAATATTGTTAAAAACTTACTTAAATTCGACGTGAAATCACGAAAAACAGGCTTGACATCATATCAACATACAAAATGCTGCTAGTATTTTATGTTTCTAGTTTTTTAAAAATCGATCAAATTGCAACATAGAAGGAAATGTTTTGGYGTTCTGCATGACCGAAGCGAGCTGTCAAGCCCAATGAACGATGTTTCTTTGAGTTAAAAAAAAAATTGTATATTTTTAGCGACGTACACTACGTCTTCCTAATATTTTCCAAGGTTTTCTGCGTTTTCCTTGTATCCTATCAGTCAAGAGTCCTCTTACCGGCAAAATGCAGCACGTGTCTGGACCAATCGGAGCGTGTGTAAGAAATAAGATTTTATTAGAAATTCGTAAACAACTTACTGACATATCATTCAGTCCTATAGTTTAAGGGACGTGTTCGCATTATCATCCACTATCTCATACCTTGATTTCCTATACTGYCTTATACCGTCCTATATCGAAACAAATCATGGCACAAATCATGTTGATGTTGACGTTTTTAGTTTTATGATAYATTTTTTTTCGTTAATATCTAATGTTCTCAGTATTTGATGGTGAGAAATGCACATATTTTAAAAATTTATCTCGTGAACGGACCTCATACGATTTGTCATCGCAATTATTTTGGCTAAAGATACTATTTTAAAAAGGCGTTCTTGTTTTTAGAGTTGAAAGTGAATCTGTCAGTGGCATAATGACTTCTCCTACTAATCTAAAGTCACGTATACTACTCGATATTTGTTATCAACATGATTTCGATCATAAAACACTAACGATATACAGTAAATTGTGAATTATGAATGTGCAGAATTCTTAAAAAAACCGAGTTGATTAAAAATAATATAGATTGCACGAAATACTTAAATCTAGTTGATGAAATCATTTTAGGAAATAAGAACTCGAAAAACGATCATGCCATTAGTACAGAAGACAACTGCAAGCAGAAACACTGCATTCGGGCGCTCCTTGTGCCCGTTTTAAACGCCAATTCTAACGCTGAATCACTACAATTCCTCCATTTATTTYTGTTCAATTTAATCTCATTTRMAMATGARTSATTTGGAGCACCATATTTGGCGTGAACCAGTACGAAGAGACTAGTTTCTTTAAATGAAGCTTWATAAARCCCAGTCATGAAGACATGATGTTCGTTGTTCCATTGGGAACCCCAAGGCTATTTCAGTTTGATTATAAAGCTSTCTTTACTGCATTATTATTAATTCGTGAAATATAAACAATCATATTTTCATTCTCACCGTATTTTATACAGAATACACTAATTATTAACTTTATAAACTTACTTCTAACCTTAGACAAAATATTYATTTCACCAGCTTGTAATAAATCTTGAATGTGTCGATTGAAYATGTCGTCTTATACGATCTTTGCAATATGCCATTTATAGAAGCAAGCCAAAAGAAGATTAAGATAGCGAACCTTTAATGATAAACCCCCATTCTGATCCCAAATGAGAAATCGACAAGGAATACTATTTTTGACAAGCACGATAATGATTATTTATACATTACTCTATAAACGACAGTTGCAATCAAACAACCATAGGAATATCTGTAAGCAGGTTATATGGATGAGACGTTAATCGGATCCAGCGCTTGTATCTAAATGTTCTCTCTATTCCCTTTTTAAAGTTGAAATGCATCATGGATAATAAAAATGGCCGCCGTCGGGTAACTTTCGCCATTTACTCAAATGCAATTTTGATTAGGTTAATTTCCGAATACATCTAGTTCATATAACGAAGTGTAAAAGTCATTTTTCAATTTGATGAACCATTTATTCATTTATCTAATCATTACATTGTGTAAACTTGTCTTTACCGAATTAGTGATTTAAAAAAACATAGATTAACCCGTCAATCACTCAATCAATATATGAATCAACCAATGAAGCAATTAATCAATCAACTAAACAATCATTCAATCAATTGATAAATGAATAAATGAATAAATTATTACATCAATGAATCAATCAATCAATCAATCAATCAATCAATCAATCAATCAATCGACCAATCAATCAATCAATTTGAAAACTTCATACTCAGCTACTGAGATATTTTTAATCGTTTGTCTGATTCACAACTTGTGAGTAGCATCACTGTTCAGCGAAATGAAAACCTCTCAAAAACCACACACAGATAGCGTCCATGGTCATGACATTTCGAGAGGTTTTGGCCACATTTTTAAATAAGATTGTCGTAATATAGAGACCTTTGAAGGGCTGAAGGTGTTCCTGAATGTCTAAGTATTCATAAGCAGAAAATCCAGTACAACAAACGTAAATCGAATAAATGATATTATTTATTACGTAGTTCGGCTGCATATCGACTCAAGGTRCATTTTTTTAGTTTGAGGCGAGCAGGTATAATGAATRAACTACTAAAAGTGCCCGGGAGTCTTGCGAAAATGTCTAGAATAAACGAATGAAAGATTAAAAGGCAATAAGTATTGTTTACGAGTATTAATGGTATAAGAAATAGAAGAATCCCCTGGAGGCTGCGTATCGTCCTTTAGGTCAGTTTTCTGGTTTTTAACTTCATAATACATTAATGAAAAAAACACTTATATTACTGACGGCGATGTAAACAATGTGCTCTACTCCGCCCTATTCATTACAGCAATTTAACCGAACACTTCTAATAGATCCTACCATTAAAAGCAAATCTATCTCATAAACATATGCACAGTTTTCTCCGAAAACATCTGATACATACATTTATATGAAGAAAACCAGAGCCTGACATAYAGCTTATTCAAAAAACATTGAGTTCTGAACACTGTGCTGTCTGTATAGTGTATTCCTAGACCGCAATGCATTGTTGGTCGCCATATCGACGCTAAAAGGGGTCAAGTTTTCACTGCTTAAGTGTGACTATCTTCATGCTTTGAAGATCTTGACGGAAACCATTTCAGTTTAAACTTGATTAAGCTAGGATTGTTATATTGTAAAAGGCAGCTAGCTTGGAGTTACATACTAACAATGCATTTCGGTCTTGGAGTGCACTGTGCCTTGGTTTCATGGTATTCAGTATTCAAAGTTTTTTTTTAATATGTTAAGTATATTATCAGACACGATATAGTGCAATGGATATTGTTCTCAGATTGTGATTCTACTATTAACCACGAGAGGTCAGTAAAAATGTTATATCGCTAAGAACAACACAAGCCGGTCCATAAATATCAATATTCAATTAAAAACCGCTGGTACAAGTATAAAGTGATTAGTTATATGGGCTATACCTCATGCTACGACWCCCACGCACGTTGGTTAGTCCTTAACTACAGCGTTATYTACTGTTATTCACGTTATTATTTTGAGTTAAAATGATGTTACACCAATGGTAGCTTTTATAATCCTTTGCAGTGTTGAATTGAACGCACTACCTTAAAGAAAAGCTCACCTATAAGGTATATGTATATGTAATGTTTTTGATATGCATATCTCATGATTGTTGGTATATAAACCTTTATGTATATTGCTCTAAACAGTCGCCACTGTAGTCTGACTGTCTGTATTGATAATCAACTTACTGTTTTTTATAGTAATGCGTTTTCAAGTAGGTAGAAACCTTTGTCGTCATTATATTCCCGCCTTACTTAGACAGCTTCCTTTAGCAATAATAACAATAACAACAACATCAACACCACCACCACCACTAACAACAACAACAGCAGCAACAACAACAAGAACAACAGCAACAACAAGACTTAACATACTTAACACTGAGCAATAATAATATAATTCCATCTTTGACCACATGACCAAGAATCCCTTAGAAATTACTCTCAACAAATAATGATGATGATGATGACAATGATGTTAATACTATCATGATAATAGGTGATGATGATAATGATAATGACAAGTGATCAGTTTGGTCCGTTAAACCATTTCTCATAACCAATAATGCTTAACCACTTGATRTATGAATGAAGGCTGTAATTTTCCCATGATCAGCTTCTAAAGCAAACTTAACTTGTTTAATTTCCTTCTATTGTATGCCAAATATCATACCAATCRGTCAATAAACATTGCTACTAAGTTTGCTCTCTTTCACACTTTAAACTTACAGTGGTTTAAGTGCAGTAACTTGTTTTCACACAAACAAAATTCAATCAATGCTTGGCTGATAAGACTGTATAATCGAGAGGTTCTTTGTCAAAATGAACCAATAACATGACCGCCATGATGTCGACTGACAAAATGAACGCATGGACTTGCTTTCTATTTTATTTTCTTGCGGTTCCTGTGATAGCTATAGATAGTGAAAATCGATTTCCTTTTTCTTTGTTACCCGTTATTTGTACTGTACTCAAACTGACATCGACTGTACAAACATTGTTGGTAGAATCCAATTAAAGGTTTTAATGGCATCTTCATGTCAGTGCTTTAAATACTTTAACCTCCTGGTCTTTCCTTTAAAAATTAAAATTAAAAAAAATCCATCTCATATTTCGTTGATTTACAATACTTCGGATATAAAAGTTCCTTGTCACACTTCCGTGCCTACAGCCAATCCTGATTGGTTCGCTAGTCAAATTAAGAATTAGTTTACTCACCAACGAAGTCATTTGCATATATCTCGTAAAAACGCCRGATTTTTGACAAAAAATATTCAAAATCAAGTWACAGAATTACAAGACACTGTAAATAATATTTAATTTGTAATATCATCGAAAACTTTGCATTGTGMCTTTGACTTTTTTGTTGACTAAATGTCTTAAAAACTAGYCATAAACGGCTTTGCGCATTGACCTTTATGTAAATTAATCAAATGTTTGCCTGAACAAAAAACCTAAAGTCCTCGGAAGAAGGCAGGGGAAACAGGAACCTCGCTCACTATCCTTCATAAATACACTGCGCGCAACTTCGTCACGGCTGTCTTGTACTTTTACTAGTGAAAAAAGTAATTCTTCATTCTGGTAAGTGTTTGCCTAAACCTGGAAAAACGTTCAAATTATATTCCAGTACAATCTGGACAAGACTGAATATTGATACTCAAGGCAAATGTTATCTATTTAAGATAAATGCGCACTTTAACAAAAACGCCGTTTTCAACACATGACACTCCAGGCTTTTAACAGATCAACATCACTATCTAGTAAACTGCGGTTTTGAAGGGAACGTTTGTACGATATGCAGCGCATATTCTGGTACTGCTTACTTTACTTTTTTCGTGGTAACTCAATTTCATCATTTTTTGCCAACAATTTCTATTGATATCGACATAGTTTAAGTTGATATTTTTTTTGAATTTAGAAAATCGAGCGATGCCAAAATATGATTTGATAAAGACATATTTCAGAATTCTACATCTGAAAGCAATATGTTCTGCCTATATTTCACGTCACCAAATTATTCCCATATTACATGATAAAATCGATATCAAACATTACTACTWCTGCAATATCATTAAATCATCCTGATTGTCTTAAATTATAATTATTAMTGCAATTAATATTACTGATAATAAATGATCAATAATCATATGTGATAAGAAAAATTGTTGGACGATGTGGCATCAGTCTAAAACCGAAAAATTATTGCAACATGATATTCAAGTGAGGATAATTGATGGTCAGTTTTTAACCAATCACAAACCACTATATCACTTAAATAAATGATAATAATTATAAYGATGATGATGATGGCAAGATGATTGTTATCATTATTATTATTAATTAGAAAGAGATACTTAGGATGTTTATATCTCCGATTCGGATAAATACCGCAAARTACGTACWACAGCACTTCATAATTGAATAGCTKTRYCTGAGGAGACCTTCCTCACAGACATTCATTAAACTCTCTTAAAGCATTGATTATTAACAAAACACTCGGCACTTGAGTCTGGTTCAAGCATGTTAAATTGTCCGTTGAATTGGCCTTGAAAATACTGTCAAAATAGCGACGACGTCAGCTTCACGACTGGCTCAATTTCAGCTCCATGTTAAATGCTTCGCGTATTTTACGTTGCTAAAGCAATACAYTTAACCATAAAAGAGGGCATGTTCCAAGCTCATCAAGCATATTTTTTCAGTGCTCCAAGAGCACTATTGAACTTAACCGTTGCAATTAGGCGTAGGAGGGTTTTTGGGCTTTGCACGTAAATAAACTTTTAATGAATTCCAACAGAAAAAGACTCTAGTCTGAAGATCAAGATTTGATTACATACAAGGGATAATTACATGTTGCAAAACTATATATAGAAACAAAGCCTGTTTATCAGAATCATCCACTGTAAGAAATAATTACTTATGAATATGAGAGATTAATAATGAAACTAGAGCTTAATATAAAGCCGCAAAATGACTCTGAAAAAGTCAGTAACATAATGTGAAAAAAACTATACAACTAAAAGTGGAACAATATGTCAATGAGAAACGAATAAATAAGACGGACGGGAAAATGAGATTTGGATAAAAAACATATGAATAAATTCAAAAGAATGCCATTGCATTAACTATCTTGAATTCTATAGTTAAATTAAGAATTAGGAACTTAAATTAAAAATAAGATTGAAAATATTAAAAACATGGTAATAATCAGCCTAGATCAAAACACTAACTGTCTTGATTTATCTCATAAAGCTGATATTTTGCAGGTATTTCCTTTACAAATATCTCTTTACAAGAAGTTTTAGGAGGCGCACCTGGTATTTTTTTTGCAACTGTTAAAATGACAACCACCTTTTTGCCTCGTTTTTGAACCGCAACACCATATTGGTTAAACCTTAGTAAAGTCTTAGGGTTGTACTGACCCCACGTCTCTATTAATATACCACTGTTCACAGTATTAAGCAATRTTAATTTTAAATTGCTTTTTAATTAGGAGAAAATCAAAACATTTTAGTATTACTGATGCTTGATGTAGATATGACAAACCATTACCACTAACAGCAGATACGAACGAGCCTTTCAAAMAAGGTAAGAGATGTACTTTCAAATTTTCAACGCTTTTGGACCTTTTAAACTCAAAACTGATGTACATAGACTCGTGTACACTATACTCATTGCCATACAAGTCAAAAGAGCCTAAATTACTGATCTGTTGATCATAGGTTTGATGTCAAAAAAAGAAAAAACCGGCCCAGATATTTGATATCTTGTTTTTGTCGAGTTTTGATTTCAACTTAAAAGTTCAATGGTAGGTTTTACAGTATTTTTTTAGTTAGATTTTGGTATAAATTATGTACAAGAAGCACTATGTTCCTCGCAATTTTGATATACAAACCCACAATATGTTATATTTCACATGCTTTTTWCTGATAAATTGTTAAACAGCCTCTCATTTGATAATATCCTCGCCAGCCACTTACAATGCAATGGTGAAAGATATCAAATAGGCCTCAATACTGAACAATAYTATCAAGATATCGTGTTATTATGTTATAAAGGCTACTGATTCTGTATTTGAGATAATTTTTTTTATGTCATTTCACTGAAAGACACTTAAACATTTTGTAACGAAGGAAAGCCTTTAAAATGATATCATATATTGGGTTTCCTGTGGTATTTTATRTTTACTGCTGTTAAAGTACACACTACGCATGCTCATTGTATGATTTCTGAGCTTATCCCACATGGATAATTAGCGGTTTTCTTGATAAGGCATTTATTTCATCGTGTGTGGTAGAAACTGATTGTTTCGTCAAACGAACATTAACTCACAAAGCTATACAAACTTTTGAAGAATGCAACAATAGAGGCCTACAATAGAGCCCTGCAATGCAGGGGTTGCGGTAACGGGCAACATAGAAGTTGAAACTGAACAATGTGGCGATTCTAAAAAGTTTGTATTTAGCACATTTCAACTTCAAATTTTATTATGAAGTAAAATGATAAGATCACTTTTAATATCGGGCCTTATATTACAAACTGATGCARTCCGTGATAAGGTTTAATCGAATCCTTTCGGCATGACCGTCGCCATGACGATGCAAGATACATTACTATGGTGACCTATATATAGAACTTGTTACTTGGTTAAATGCTACCACTTTCGAGAATGCCATATTTCTAGGAAAGCCGTTCCGTTTGTTTTTCTTTTTTATACACGGCATGTAACGAAATACGGAACTTTCGTTTGCATATAGTATCTACAAGTTCACCTTACGTGGTCATTAAGTTTGTTCATGTTTGTTTCCGATTTTGTTTCCTATTTTTCTTTGTTTGTTTTTCACAATGCTTCATTCACGTCACGTTGTCATTTACTCACTTGAATGTTTCATTTTTGAACGTCAACGTTTTAAATATACTGTAATTACAGCTCGTTTAAAAACGTTGTCATTAGCAATCTTGTATAAGAACAATATATTAAAGAGGTTATAACCTTAAAAAAATGGTTTCAAACGTAAAATRAAACCTACTACACGAGATGGTTTTAAACAAATTTGAAAATTGCTACCTGATAARAAGATGTAGCTAGAATTTCACTAAAAATTGTTATCTCCTTTGATCATCGACGCTGTTTAAAATTAATGTAAAATGTTCAATCAAGAGATTTAATATAATCCTATAAAGAGATATTATTGACTCAGCAAGGTCGCGGTAATCGTAAATGGTATCTCTAGCAATCYACATATCATTTTAAAGATATGAAGTCCTTGATTAAAAAGAATAAATAAACAAATATATGAAAAAGGCATTTGCTTTGAATTTATTATTTACGAAGTGGGTCTTAGGAACTAAAATTGTTGTGACTCACGATTGTCGTAGGAAGATAAATGCTCAGTTTAAAAATGCGCTGCCTCGGAATGTCATTGTTTAGTCATCCATCTTCTGTTTCATCCATTCATTTGTAAGTTATCAGTAAATGCAATGATTCATCCATTCATGCAGATCATTGTTTAATCGATTTTTCATTACCTCGATCGACCTCGATGGGTTCATATAYTTTCTTCCACCTGTTTTCATTTTTTTAATTCCATTCTTTTTGCATTCATTTATTAATCAAATAAAGTTTCCATTTACCGTCTCAAACGGACCGTCAGTAGAGCTCTAAACTATGAAGAGTTTCATTAAAATAAATTGAAATAAATAAAGAAAACATTTCTTTATRAAAGTAACATCTAATATAATAAAGCAACATTTAATCAAAATACATGCGAAAATGTTTCAGTTTTGTTGGTTTGAGAGAAGAGTATGATGTCATTGACTTTCAGTAATTCGAAGGAAATTCAAAAATGATTTATTATCCACACAGAAGAAGTCGCATTGAATGGTAAACTATACTTGATGTTTTGAATTAAATTCAATTACTTACTAAAAAAAGTCGCTAATATGGCGGTTACATTGGTAATTATATGTCTTCAAAGAACGCGAACTTCATTTTTATACCCAAAAATAGAAATGTGTTTCTGTTATGAACTCAGAACGGCTCAGCGTGAAGAAAGAAATAAGGAAAAACACAATGAAAAACAGAAAAAAACTTAATCTTTTCTTTGTTCCGCTTTAAACTCATTATTGTTCAAAGAAAGCGCAATGCCTACAAGAATATCGTAAGGAAATATTATAAAATAAGTAGTTAGAATTTAGTCTTTATCTGTGTTTGAGCCTAAATTGCTAAACGCATGCAGTTCTAGTCAAATAATGTTACAAAAATAAACTGCTTTGTTCCCATGAAAAAGAATATAAAGTACTGATGCACACATTAGTGCTAGTAAAATCTATGTAGAAAAACGGAAAAAAAAGCAAACAAGTGATCACCAACTTCCAACAAAACGATAATTTGTAAGAATATAAAGCTCTCAGTTGAGTATCATATACTTTCTGACAACTGAAAAAAACCGGGCTTACCAAACAAAGAAACCGAAAAAGTTTACATACGCTCATATCAATTAATAATTCTTCCCAACATCAACTTGTCATTGCCAGTTTCCTGCGCCCATTGCGCGCACTGTCAGTGAAATTCTACGATTCTTTAATAAAGTAAAATGCAATAATTCCTGTCAGCCGGTTTGGTTATGTTGCCATACTGTCATTCTATTGTCGAGTGTTGGTTTACTAGTGAGTTAAATGTATCGTGTGGTTCACCTTTTTSAAAACAATCACAAAATTGGTTGCCACCTCAGCGCGMGATAAATTTGCTTAAGATTTTAAGAGATCGAGAATCGGTTGAAACGGATGCAAACCAGCAGTTCTACTCAAGTGCGTACTTCGAATCTGTAATTGCTACCAAAAGGTGTTGTATGCTTATAGATATTTGTAAGCGTAAGGTACTGATTTAGAATTTTATATGATATGTTACAATAGAAACAGTCATTTCAGCCTTCTTAACTGATCCTTCTTAGAAAATGCTGTAGTTATTTTATGAATATTGAACCAGAATGCTTTCTATCGAGTATGTTAGTTAGGTTGTTTCCCAGTTGCCCAGGGTTGTCGCGATTTTAAGTAATCAAGTATGATTGCACCAAAACCAGTCAAAGAAACAAAGATATATAAGAAGATAATTGAATRGGAAAATCTTGTTTCAAGTGCGCAAAGTACGTACTCCGCATTGTCAAGTGAATAGGGGAAGCGCAAGAGGTGTGAATACTACTACTATATGGCACGATGAACAGTGATTTTATTAGACTAGTAATTCATATTAGGAGTGACCTTAGTAAGTGCATATGTCTTCACTGGATAAACGAGGTTCATAATCTTARAAACCGCAAATTCAGAATTTTTATAAACACATTTTGATTATCAATTATCGATAGTGAAAACTTCAACGAGAAAACGCGAAACCGGCTTTCTTATGAAACTACAAGTCTATCTAGTTGGCTACAAACTCGTACTTATAAAGAAAAACATATCCTTKGCCGTAGTTTTCTGAGATTGTTTTGGGAAGCCAAAGCAATCATTCCGAAAAGTGCACCTGTCTAGGGGTGGGAAGAAATCTATTTTGACACCACAGGAAACCCAAAAACGACCCGAACACCTCAATATTTTCATTTTATTATCATCAAGTTAAGTACAGATGYAGTTTTTCTCATGTTTTATCGAGATAGGATGGATGTAAACAGCTCTATTGGTTTACTGATAKCTATTGAGTTTTGTTTTACCCGTCGGCGATKTGAATGATGATCAAAAGATCAAACTTGTATTACTATAGACATTAGCACTGAAAAAGAGAACTATCAATTCTCTTTATTTTTCATTCTTTTTTAATTTTGTTGCGACGATTTGCCGACAGCAAGAGAACAAAGAGATACGGCGGAAAATCAACTCAGTTATTCACTCTCTGTACTAATTTACTCAACACACACCGACTAGTCAAAAACWCAGACCGGCAATTAAGGAATAGAAATAATACCAGCCCAAAAGCATAGAGCAATCTAGACCGACTACATGAGGTGATATTAAATGTCCGCCCCTGGCGATCTCAAATTATTTCAAGGCACGAGACTGGCTGTACGTTCTGTAAGATAAGAGCTCGGCTTTGTGGCACCACCACCACTGTTAGAAACGATAACAAGCAAAAAAAAAATAGTTTTGTAGAAAGACTGGTGATTGATTTTACTCTGACTATAAGGGGATTATATGGTATCACTTCAATAATAATCCATGCTATGTTTAATTACTTGTAAAATAAKTTCCCTTATCGACCTTTTCATCTCATAATACTTTGACTTTTTTTTCTGTTTGCTTCTACAGATCGATGTTCATGCAGTAAGTCGGATGGACCTGACGTCGGTCTTGGTAGGAGTGAATGTAAACAGCAATTATAGAACATGAAAGCTGAAACACTTTWGTATTCAAGAAACAATTATATGAAGAACGCTGCTGAGAGCGACTYTTTAAAAGGATAAAGACCTGTGGTTCATCACAAASATGAATAAYWSTACMAATGCACCACAAAACCAGCAACAAAGTACAAGCACWGACACYGAAAAGTACACCATTTTGGGTTTCTTCATCGCTACATTTGTCATAGGTCTCGTAGGTAACGTCCTAGTCTTGGTRATTGTCGTGAAAAAACGTGTAAAAAGAACGGCAAACGATGTTTTCATCATGAATYTAGCGGTCTCGGACTTGACAATGATTTTCTTTCTCCCACTTCAAATCAGCGAGTTGTTTGGAARGTTTCCTGGAAATGTCTTCACTTGCAACTTTGTAAGACCATTGATGACTGTCACTTTCTTTGTTAGTATATTTACATTGACTACAATGGCGGTTTATCGATGTAAAGTTATACTTAACCCTCTACGTCCTGAGATGAAAGAACTTGTTGCTATTTTAGTAGTTGTAATTATATGGATAGTGTCATTTATATGTGTTTTGCCGCTAATGATTGTCAACAAGCCTACAGGACAACCACCGTGTCAAGAGAACTGGCCTTCGGATTCACATAGRAAGTCTTACACTATAGCCTTAGTAATACTACAATATATTCTACCATTACTTATAATTGCTGTTGCTTATGTGAGGATTGGATTAGATCTCTACCGAGCTCGATTGATCCCAAGAAAGTTTTCATTCAAACGCAAAAGTTCCGCCAAAGACGAAGGAATAAGCAAAGTGAACTTCAAAGCAAGAAAAAGAGAAAACAAACAAGTTATCAAAACACTAGCAACCATAGTTGTCATGTTTGCATTGTGTCTTCTTCCTGGACAAGTTACATGGTTACTTGCAGACTTTAGTGAGATGTCATTCGATTCTTTGAAAATATGGATGGAGTTAGGACTCGTTGCGTCTGTATTTCATAGTTGCATAAATCCATTGGTCTATGGCACGCTCACAAGACAGTTTCGTCGAGGATATATCAAATACCTCTCGTATTTATTATGCTGTTGTGAATCAAACAGTACTGTCCAGCGGTTGCGCATGCTCAGAGACGAGTCAACACGAACTGATTCTAGAAAACGTAGTTTCGGGTTCCATACAGAAAAATCAACTCCAGGAAGTATAGCAACGGCAATGTTAGATGTGAACAGAAAGACGAGTTGTTTCTCGCGTTATTTAAAGCTTGGTTCGAATAATAGTATGAAAAATGACCATTCAATGAATGATACCAGATGTAATGGAGAGACTGTTGTTTAAAATACAACTTTATCCAATAGATTGTCACTACCAAAAACGCACAAGATAGATATGCGCGCTATATTTCAGGATCAAAATATAAAATAATATGTACTTAAAACAATAAAAAACTTTTGTCAGAAAGTTTTGGTTTATTCTAGAATATTTTGACCGGCAAAAACTGGAATAATTAACAATATGTCTTCAAAAGCCTTTGGTGGTGACAAACTTATTGGAAATTGTTTGTTTATTGTGCTAAAGTAGCACTATTTATGCACCAACTTATGTTTATTATAAGGCTTGTAAACATTGAAATAAGTCAGCTTTGTAAAGCATATTAGTGTTCAAAATACAATCTGGGATCACTTTGATATAAACGCTTTGACTTTGATAACGTCAGTATTCAGTATTCATGTTATGACCACCTCCATATGACGAATACCATTACGGACACATGCATTTACATCTACATAACAAACAAACGTCTTTAGTACCTCGAAACCCCTAATATGACCACGCCTATACCCTTGGACACCACTTAGACCCACTCAATAACAATACCTCTACATCGCGAACACAGACATACCGCCATTTTACGAAAACGTCTTTATAACGAACACATCCTTATTTGTCGGGCTACACGTAGGCGATGCCCGACTTTAGTCTACTCTTTCTTCAATCTATCTATCTATGTATCTTTCAATGTCGTGTATAGTCCCCATGATGCTTTACGAGCTATACCACAGGGACCCCGGATGATGCTATTGACAATCATCTAGAATTCATTGCTATGTTAATAAATGTGGTTTCAACCATTTAACACATTGCAAATTCAAGGGAATATTAATTTTATCACAACACGTAAATTATTACGCTAGCTAACCTGACGTCACGTTATTTAGCGTCTAGTTTCAAAAACCTCTACATTACGAACAATTCTACCTCGACACTACGGACACTTCGTCTTTGTAATGAATAATAATTTTATGATATCCAAGCACGTGAAATATTGAAAGTTGACACCGAAACGAAAACTAATCCAAAAACACCCGGCACATTTTTTTTATTTCACTCTTTATTTTGTCAGTGATATTTCATGAAAAAACTATTATATCTTTTTGGAAGTTAACTTCTTAAAGCCAAAATCATGACTTCAGCTCATTAATAACTAATGCTTTATGTCGTAAACTTCGCAGACTTATTGCCCACATTATTAATATAATCAGATCTTTTMAAAAAAGACAGCGAAATAACTTGTTTACATTGTAATTTGCTAACTTCCGCGAAGGTTTAAAGTGACMTGAACACTGCTGATATCACAGACACCTCTTTGCAAATACTTTTTATTTCTTCCTTACCCCCTGGATGGCATTTAACTAAGTTAAAATACGACGAATTGGMCTAGACACCAATTAGGACCAATAAGAGTAAATACGCTGTGCAGAGATATTTTAATATCTACAAAAGTACCTGCTGACAATGAAGTATTTAAAAATACTTCATTGTCCCTCTGCCAAAACCTACTAGATTGTTGTATAAAAATTGTCAAGGAAATGATACCGTTAGCAGGTACTTTTGTCTCTATATGTGCATATCGGTGAAGTACAACAATGGAATAACACTGTACTGTGATACAAGGCAACCAAATGATTAAGGTAAAACAAGA